AATAGGAACACTCTCAGATTTTATATCAAAATTTAATTATTTAATTAAAAATTCATAATATATTAATTAAATATATAAAATTTAAAAAATTTAAAATTATTTAATATCTTATTTCATTAATTTAAACTAACAAATAATCATAAAAATATTTTATTTATTATGCATTTGTATGCATATATATAATTATATTTGAACTGTCACGTGTTTTATGTTTTATGGTATATAATTTACTTTTTTAGATACAGCTACAATAGAAAATTTTCTTACAAGCTTTTCTTAGTTATATTTGTTTTTTCAAGTGAAAATAGTGTACAATACAAGAGGGGGTTGGTAGAACAAAGAGGGACTAATAAAAAATTTGGATGCCTTAGGCAATCTATGGTGCACCAAATCGGCTTGTCGCCTTACCAAAGATATTCTATAGTTTGAACTATCCTCTATCAAGTGTCTACAATTAATGCATAAGTATTAGACCAAATTTTGTGTGATCTTGACGTGTGTTATATAGACCCATTTGCAACTTTCTTGTAGTTTGTTTTAATTATTGCCAATGGGATGTTTAAAGGGCATAACCACTGCAACAATTGGAGCAGTGCTAAAGCCTCCCCCCCTTATGAAATGGAAAAGTTTCAATACGCCACCTGGTGAGCGCAGAGTCATAGCCCCCTGAGCATTACGGATGCAGATTCCAATTCCCATCTTACATTTTATAGTTAATTCCCATCAGAGGTGGGATCTATGATTCTTGAGGCTTACATGTCGTTCTGTTATCCTGACCACTTGCTCTCTTGCTTTCTCCCAATCGATTAAAGTTTCTCTTGCCCTCATGCACACCTAGGTTGGATTGAAATTCTTCCTTTCCTAAATCATCTCATTTCAGCTTCTTCAAATGCTCCAAAGTGTTACTACAACAGCTTGCTCCCCTTCTCTCCAAGCAGCTTACACGTAGCAAAAACAAGTTCATAAATCCCTTCTCTCTTGCCATTAAGGACTGGACCAACTTTTGTAGGTTTCCTTGTTACCAACAACCCAAAACCTTTGGACACAAGGAACAGGTGCCAACAATTTTCAAGATCTCTATCACACAACACACAAGTATTCTCACACTGAACTCCTCTACTTTGTAGTTGTGACTTGTGACCATGTTGGTAAGCACTCTTTGCATGCACCCCAAGCAAAGACACGTACCTTTGGGGGCACCTCAAGCTCCAAAATATTCTTTTGGTCGCTTCCCACCCTTGATGCATTTGTGCGTGTCACTTTGTGAGTACCTATGATGCACCCATTAGATATGTGTATTAGATACGATACATATCTGATACGATGATATAATTATTTTAAAATATATAGAATAAGATACATATAAAATTTGTGTCATTATATATATCAATATTCATGTAATATAATAAATATGTATTTATAATTTTGATCAAAATTCATAAATAATTTTACAAATTTAAATGAAAAACATATTTATTGTACATTACTAAAAATAAATAAATTATAAATAATTTGATTATAAATTACTTTTTTATTATTTATAAATAGAAATAATATTATTAATTTCATTTCTTTTTTAAAATTTTTTATACTTTTTACGTTAAACATGTTTATATATCTTATTTAACTATAATAGATATTTTATAATTTTTTAAAAATTTAAATATTTTATTAATATATATCATCAATAAATATCGATTAAGTATCTAAAAATATCATAATTAAATAAAATTTTTATAATATTTTTAAAGGTTATAATACTTCACCGACACACATTATTGAGTATTGTATCGGATATGAATATATAAAGTAAATTGAACTATCCGTTTAAATCGTTACGGTATACAATCCTCTCTACTAAACCTCCATGTTAACTAATCCTAGCTTCCTGTGTGCACAAGTGGGATTTTGAGAATCACAGCTCCATCACTTTCATTCAACAACGAAGCGATTATCTCCTAATTAGTGCAAACCAACTCCTGATTGATGAGTTTGCTTACGCGCCAATCTACATTTCCCACCCATTTGGTTGACTACACATACGTGCCTTCCTACTCCTGCAGCCACGAATTGCCCCAAATAGGAACACTACCTCCATCACCTATGTGCCATCGGGACCCCTCCTTCACCAGTACTTGGGAATGCTAGATGTTATATGCTAAGTAAAACTTGGATCATATGGCCTACAGTTACCTCCTCTGGGGAAATATTTAGCTTTGAGAACTCTTGTTATAATAGCATCAGGGTCAGTTGTCAAATGTCAACTTCCATCATTGTTTCCCTAGCATGACAAAATTAAAATCATAGATGTCACGAAATTCTACTCCTCCTACCTACCTCCTTTTTCATTGTAAGTTTCTTACATCTTAGCCACCTTATGTCTCTATCTATTCTTTGATCCATGCCCCACCAAAATGAATTTAGCATCCATTCTAGCTCCTCCACCAATGTTTGAGGTAGCAAAAGCGCATTCATGCAGTACGAATAAATGGTTTTTCTTAGTTATATTGTTAACCAATCATAAGTCATTGTTTGTATTATTATATAACTTTTAAGATAATTATTATGAAAATCAATAAATTTATTGTATATGTAAATTGTGATTAAATGATAATGACATTTATATGGTTCTTGTTCTTTTGAAAGTGTTAAGAGTATTTTGATGTTGTTCAAATAATGTGAGACTTGTTCTTTTGAAATATCATGCATATAAAATTAAAGTTCATAATACTTAAAACAAAACATAAATAAAAAGTCAATGAGACGAAGTGTTTAAAGTTTTAAATCATCTAAAATTAAAGCTTAAAGTAATTAAAGTAGTAAGTAACTAAAAAACTAGACGTTGAAATTCAATCTTTATCCTGCTGACCACTTATGGTGTACTAGTACACAAAGTGATGGTTTTTTCTTTGTTCATCAACATTTAGTTGGGCCCGCTAACCATCAAAGAACAAAACCATACAAGTAAAAAAAATAACAGAATAACAAAAATTGTTGCCGCAAACAATAAAGAAGAGAGAGAGAGGAAAAGAAAGAAAAAAATAATAAAAGATGGGAACAGGAAAGAAAAAAGAAAAAAGAAACTCGTTAAGTGGTGGTATTTTAATTTTTTGTAAATCGCTCAGCGGTTTTGTGCCTGCTCTAGGTGAAACGCTACGCTGAGGTTACTGTAAACGACCGCTATTGACAACATAGAATGCTATTAGTTCACTTTTCACACGCTAGAATCCATTGTGCTCACCAAAAAATGCAATTGCATGATTTGTCATACTGGTGAACAATCCAACTCAGAATGATGGCCAATGATTCAAATTAATGTGATTATTGATGTCTTATTTGTCATTAAATTAAATTGGCTTGTTAAGTCTAACTTTCTTTTTTTTTTTTAATGTATTCCAGTAATTGGCCTTAGTTCATGAATCATAAATATTGGCACCTTCATGATTGGGTGGAGCAATTGTGATTATTTTTTCAAGTAATTTTTTTTAGTGCATGTCGTATTTCAAGAACAAAAATGAACGATTACTATTTTTCACCATTTTATTTACTTTTGCTGAAATCTTCTGCAAGTGTTCTGTTGCAAAAGAGAATTATAGATAGAATTAGAAAGTGATATTTAGACCCTTTATATAGGTGATTGAGTCTTATCGATGATTGGAGTATCTTCTTGGGTAGTTATCATTAAGCAAGAATATGTTATAACAGCTAGCTAGATAAGTAACAAAATATGATAAGGTAGTTATGTGATAACCGCTGTGTAGATAAGCAGTTGGTATAGTGTAAATCCGAGATATTAAGAAGAGGTTTTATAATATCGGGGGTGCTTGATAACTGCCCTATGAGCCTGAACCTGAGCCTGAGCCTGAGCCTGGCTGGTTCCGCCTAGGGTGGGCCAAAAGTTAGAGACCCGATCCATACCCATATTAATCGAATGGAAAAACAGACTATTGGGTGATTTCAGACGCTTGATTTGGATTGAATGAGTATAAGAAAAGTGGCTTATACAGTTATCACAAATGGTTGCAGTTTCAGATTTTATTTTCCACAGAATATCAAACCGAATCAAACCTTTGAAAATAATAAACTTGTTTACTACAAACCATAAAGAAACCATGTGAGTGTTGCTATAATTAAATGTTGAGTGTATTAGGTTTTGGACTCTCTTCCTATATGAAAAATAGGTTTAAATTGTATAAATTCAATATCTCTCTTAACTAAGTGAGGAGATGTCAGATTAGGATAGAGAGAGTAATTCAATTTAAAAGAAGAAAACAACAAAATACAAAGCGAAGAGAAGAGAGAAAGTTACAAGTCGCATATCCACCGGATAATGTTTGTTGAATTGTAACTAGAAATTCGTTCACTATTAGATCAAAATGATTTTTGGACAATAGGTTCTTACGATATGGAGTTTCATATTCAACGGTTGAATTATCGAAAGGAAAGTTAAAATGGGAGAAAAATGTCTTGTAATAACAACTCTGTTTTGGAGTTTTTTTTCGTCTTCTTATTTCTCAATTATAAGCGGTTGTACTTAGTTTTGCTTTGACTAATTGTAAGTACTCTTTAATGTGTTTTTTGAAAACTCTCTTGTACCTTTTGTTATACGTTTGAAATACCTATTCTTGTTCTATTTTATTAGTGTTAGATTCTTACAAGCAGGAAATTTAATTTCTGTTGCGTTATTATTCTTTTCAAAATTTTTGTTATTGTGTCGGATTTTCTCCCATCAGAGTGTTGTGTGAGATTGGTGTGCTATGTGTCATAGGCTCTTGTCACACCAATTTCACAATGATGCTGTATTATTTTTTAAAACAATAAAAAGCTTTTGGCATCCAACTGTCAAAATAAATCTAAGATTTTATATATTATAATATTAGTTACGATATACACTTACAAAAATGATGCATAGATGGACAAGTTATTCAATTGTTGCAAGTTACATATGTCGAAGAGATGCCACAACACAGGAGGAATGTTTTTTGTGAGCGATTCACAATTAGAGAAGGAGAAAGAACATGATTGAAAAAAGTAATCATAATGCACCTTATCCGCTACAACCCACCTAAGTATTCATCACACCCGTTATATTGGAACCTGACAAAGCTGAGAGTTTAAATGGTTGGAATCAATTCAACATATTTTTGTCACGGTTTATACCGGATTAAAAATTTTAAGACCGAATCCAACCATACACACTTGATGATCACCCCTAGACCGAATCCAAACATACCCACACAATGATCACCCCTACTTTCGCCCATTGACCCCCTGTGGGCTACTTAAACAACCAACTCGGCTGAATACTATTTGAAATTGGACCTACAAACGAAATATATCCAAAGACTAAGCATTACATAGTTAAATAATGAAGCTAATTAATTCAAGATATTCGGGATTTGGGGCATTTGATGATATTGGTATTTTATGTCATTATGTTGGCATAGAACGTGAGTTTATGAATTAAGCGGTTCAAACTTTTATCATACTCATTGAAACATGCTCTATTTACGTAAGTTCAAATGAAGACAATCATTCATATGTAGTATCTTTTAATGCAAGTCTTTTCTTCCTTCCAACTCTAGTATGATATAGGAGCAGTTTTATAGAACTTTAACTATATTGATTTTTCTGGTATGATTTGAAAAGTTTTTGACAAATTCAGTTAAAATTTTTAATTGGTTTCTTTCCATGCTGGTGTTAACGCAGAGACTTTTAGGGGTCATTCACGACTAGTGTAGCAACTTAGCTATTTAAGCTATTTAGTCTTCTACGAGTAGAAGACTAAGACGTTGGAATCTTAGATCTTCTCTATCAAAGAAGTGGTTAATGTTGGTTATTTTGGTCTATTTTTCACCTTATTCAGCCAGATAGATATGGAAACAACTTGTTGCCATTTCTTGGTTGATCTTTTGCTCCTCACCCACCCTGCCCTCAGGACGATAACACTACAGTGTCTCTCATGTCAAGCATAGACCACATGAGAACAAGCACCACCCTCGAACCTCTCTTGTCAAGCATAGACCACATGAGAACAAGCACCACCCTCGAACCTCTCTTGTCAAGCATAGACCACATGAGAACAAGCACCACCCTCGAACCTCTCTTGTCAAGCATAGACCACATGAGAACAAGCACCACCCTCGAACGCAGAGGCCATAGAGCAAGAGAAGCTTGTCAATTCATCCATGTGCAGGTGTAAATGAATAGTAGAACATGAATATACAGTGCTTGGAAGTGTAACAAGCCATAATATCAACAAAAATCTCCCCCACAGAACTCCAACCAGGCCCCATGCCCGTGACATGGCTTAAATAAATAAATAAAAAGTTTTAACTTATGGTTTGAATTCCAGAATCGTTTTAGACACAGCCCAGTTATGATTTTACCAAATATGTTTTCGGCAATAAACCTGCCAAACATGTTACCAGTGATGCAACTCACTCTGCAGTTTTGGGTGCACAAACTATAGCGCAATATGCTACTAAATTTATTTATATTTTGTTCCAAGAAAAGCCTTTGTCAAATGCTAGCATACAGTTTGAATATGCAAAATTATGTGATCCAAATATGCTGTCTATTGCTAACTTAAAATGAAACAATACAGCTCCAGATAGAACAAGATATCCTTCAACCATTCTCAGCCATGGAAAAAGGAGAGATCGAACAGAAAAGCTATATAAAATAACTTTTATGAGAATATAGGGGGCCATTCTATAGGCAAGCGCGATTACAGTTTTTTTTTAATGTGAGGTAAATTCAAGAATAGTTTAAAAATCAAATGGGATGTTGTTGGTGGACAACGAATGCCAGAGTTGCTCATAACATTATCCAAACACTTTCAAGTATATAATATTCAAAGGCAAAATATGCCCAATGGTGACAGAAAAAACCTTCAAAACTTGACAGTAAACCTATCAAGTAATTGAAACAATGTATTGGAATGAAGCTACATCTCAAAATTCCATGAGGTCTCAGCAACAACTTTGGGAGCTTTCAATTCTTCAGCCAAGTTAACAGATGCTACGATCTGAAAGACAAAGCTTAAAGTTAGACAATCTGAACAAAAAGATGTTACTCAGGAATAACTTAATATATTGGGGTGCGGGGAGTCAACCAATTTGATTAAATTAATGAAGGAAAAAACTATAGCAGAATCCTCAAAACTCAAAAGTAAAACCTCCATTGATTAAGTTTCTAATAGAAGAACAGACAAGGCATCTAGAAGTCATTATGCACAGTTCTAACTTCTGACATATATCCAAGTCTGTAAAATATATTTTGAAGATACAGAGAGAAAGAAATGCCACAGCACTGACCAGTAACCTGTAGTACGCCCAACATATAACTAATTTAAGTTAACGAATGTAAGAAATGAAGGTACAAAGGAAAAATCAAGACTACCGATGACAATTGACAACTTTGTGGTAAGGTCAAATGAGAATGAAGATAGATATCAGTACCCATTGCAACCCCTCTTTAACAAATTCTTATCCAATTATATTATATATCATATGAGCTTACATAAATAATCTAATACAGCCTTTACTTTGATATAATTATGATTATATCTTCAAGCAGCAATTTGCACAACACATATGCAAAATTTCCAGCTTATGCTGAAACAGATTATACATTACACAGCACATGCAAATTCATCATTCAAAATCAGTTCAAGCAACACACAAGAACATGAAGGGAAAAAAACTATTATGCATCACGCTCATCGCCTAATCCATATCTCGGACTCTTGTTTTTCCACGATGTCTCAACCATGCCGGAATCTCAAGGATTCAGGCCTCAACATCAATACACTTCAGGCGAGTGAGCAGTCAACCACTTGGGACATGACACCATTCCATTTCAAAATGAGAAATGTTAGCGACACTCATTCTAACACTCCATAATTGATAGAAAATCACAACTTGTAGTGGATCTTACCACTAAATCAGGAGAGACTCATTAAATAAGACATTTGTGATTTCTAAAGAGAGAGTGTCGCTAGCATTCCTCTATCAGAACTGGCATCCACATTCATTTTGGACAAATCAAAAACCAATCAATGAACTCTACCAGAGAGAGACAGGCTAAACTCAAAACATCAAAATTGTGAAACAAAAAACCACAAGTCAACCCAGCAACACAACATTGAAATCCATTGTGAATCAATTGATTTCACCTTGAAGCCAGCAGGGTGTTTGGACATCCGCGACCACTCAAGGCCCAAAACCCTGGTGGATGTCTGGTAAGTGGCCCTCAACGTGTCATCACCATAGACCCTCTGGGAAACCGCAAAGTCCCACGTGTTCTTAGCCACGTCATAGGTGGGTTCAAACGTGGTCAACCCCTTGTGAACATAAGTGTACTTCAACTTGCAGTTTCCCGAGTCAAGAGCATAATTGGCCGAAAACTTGTTCGCAGGATCGTACACAAAGGTTCCATCCAAAACGGTGCGGTTGTCACTGAAGTTGTGGGCGTAAGTCAAATTCAACGGCCTCTCCCTAACCCTAACCGTGTTCATGAACTGAAAACGAAAGTCCTGCAAAAAAAAAAAAAGATTTTTAGGATTAATCTGAGTAAGTAACCAAGTGGGTATTTGGGAAGGTACCTTTTTGGGGACGTTGTAGTCGACGATGAAGGAACCGGGCTTCTCGACGGCGAGAGACAAACCGGTGAGGCTGGGGCCGTTAATGAAGGTGGCTTCCGTTACGGAGGCTCTGAACTTGACGTCGCCGGCGTTGACGGCGGCGGTGGCAAATGCACCCCCGTTTTTTTCGGGCTGGGGCCGTTAATGAAGGTGGCTTCCGTTACGGAGGCTCTGAACTTGACGTCGCCGGCGTTGACGGCGGCGGTGGCAAGTGCACCGCCGTTTTTGTCGAGGTCGTACTTGCCCTTGAGAGTAGCCTTCATTGCAATTGCCGAAAGACAAAACAAGTTACAAGTGTAGAGTGGTGCCAAAGGTCTTTAAAATGAGGAATATTAATATATCATCAAATAAATCCTCACGCTATTGCACCAAGCCACCAACCAAACCAACACCCACACATTTTTTTTTTTTATTCTTATATGGGCCCTTCTGCTATTAACAATTGGCCCGTTTTCAGTTTTCTATTTTTTCTACGTTAATACATCTTTAATATATTCTTTTTATAAATATTTTTATATTTTTTAATTTCTTGACTTTGCCAACTTTTTTTTCCAAGCCCTCATATCCCTTTCACATCCACCTCCTTACTACATTTTTTAATATTTCAAAACTACCAAAATTTTATAATTGTAATTTTTTTCTAAAGTTTGGAATTTTATGATTTTCAAGCATCTAATTTTTGTAATATTTATTTTAGTGTTCTGAGAAATTTTTTTGAAAGAATATTTTCATGATTATAGAAAAATGGTTTTTGAAACACTAAAAAAACGTACTTTTTAAATTTTTTTTCGGAAGTATGAGAAAAAAAAATCTAAGATCAATGAAATAACTTAAAAATATAGTATTAATTGTATACTTTATAAGCATACGTATTCACAAAAAATTTACTGTAATATTTCCTTTTTAAGTGTCAAATTATCTGTTATGTATAAGTCATGTTAAATAAATTAAAAATATATAATAAAACAAAATAGTGAACAATTAAGATAAAGTGAAAAAATTAGGATTCAAATAATGATTAACCTGAAAGTGGAAAAATAAAATTTAAAAAATACAAAGATGATTTATATAAAAAAAGTGCAAAATGAGGTATTTGTCTTGATTGATTTTCTTTTTAAAGATAAAAAAGATTACAAAGATAATTGCAATGAGAAAATTAATAAAAAAAATATTTTAATTATTTTTTTTAAAACAAGTATAAAAAATAAAACAAAGGAAAGGGTATTTATATAAAAGAGGTGATATAAGAGCTTTTTTAATTTGTATTTCCATCTAGATTTTTGTATTCTTTTTTATAAAATTTATAAAATTACTCCTTTTGAAAATTTGTGAATCATTATGAAGATTAGTTTTGTTTTAAAAAAAACTGTTTGGTATAGAATATCCACCAAATTTGTGGATGACTAATATTTGTCAAAAAAAAAAAAACTTAGTTAATCAATCACGTTTATTTTATCTATAATTTTTGAAGTTTATACTTTATTTAAGTAGATCAAGTATGATATTATTTAAAATAATGACTTATTGGTATAAAATTTAGTTTATGTTAAAAAAAATTATTTTTCTATGTTAAAATTGTGTTATTCACATTAATTTTATTTATTATTCTCTCAAAGTCCTTATTATAGGATTCAAATAAATTGTAACGACCCGGCTGGTCACTACACACGGCACAGCACACTAGAAATATCGCACAGAAAAGAACAAGTGTATATATATAGAGTCTAAAATATACATATACATGATCCAATCTGAACAGAGTTAAAGTGTACAAAAATACAACCAAGTGCTACTACCCCAAGTAGCTCAACAACAAAATAATCACAAAAGAGATCAGCTCCACCAGTCCGGTGAAGACTCACCACTAGTCACCCACCTATCCCTGCTCTGCTCCCATACATAGTATGATCATTGCAGTCCAAACATTATGAAAACAATAAAGGGTAAGCTAGTGTAAATAAAATCAACATACATATATGCTTAATATGATGATAGAAAACAACTACGGCTATCAGCATACCAGCACTGCTTATACCACTCACAGCATACAACATTCTCAGCACCGCATTGCGGCAATATCAGCACTGCTTAACAACAATAACAGCACCACAATAGTGGCTATAACGGCACCTCTTAGCGGCAACAACAGTACCGACTTAGCGGTTATAACAGCACCACATATGTGGCTAATAACAGCACCAACTTAGCGGCTATAACATCATACAGTTCAGCTCAGCACAGCACAGCACAGTACATCACAGCACAACACAGCAATTCAACACACTTATTACTCACAACTCAGCCTAACATTCCATAGTACCACAAGACTATAACTCAACTTTTTAATTCATCGATCATAGCCCAACTCAGCACAACATTATACCTCTAATACAGCTAAACATTATTTTCTCAGCCTTATCACCTAGTCAGCACAGCATATTCATCAAGTTCGGCCTAGTTCAGCATATAACAACATTGATTATCAACCTCAGCAAAATTCAACAGCTAACAACATGTATAACCATATCTCCTTGCGCGCCCGGCGCACTCGAGGTCACGCCCAGCGCGGCTCAACCCGAGAGCACCAGGGGCCAGCGCGCCTAGCGTAAGAATACTCGCGCCCAGCGAGACTCAACCCGAGAGTCCAAGACTCTCACGCGCCTGGCGCAATTCCAATTGCGCCCAGCGCCTGCCAGGCAGAGACTCTAAGGAGTCTCATGCACTCAGCGTGGCCTAACCCGCGCCTAGCGTGGGGAAGGCAGAGACCTACCAAGGTCTCGCGCCCGGCGCAAATTGCATTGCACCCAGCGCTCTCTTGGCAGAGACTCCCAAGGAGCCTCCGCGCCCAGCGAGCCCAAACGCGCGCCTAGTGCGACACCAGAGTACCCAAAACATGTCACCCTTGATATCGCGCCCAGCGCAGCTCAAGTCACGCTCGGCGTGGGCCAACCAGAGACTCCAATTTGCAAGCTCGCCCGACGCACACAGCTTTGCGCCCAGCGGACTTGCCTAAACAGAGTCCCCTGGTGGTCACGCGCCCGGCGCGAAGAACAGCGCCCAGCGCGAATTCAGCAGCAACTCTTCCCAAGTTCAAAATTTGTCCAAATCCTGCAAAACTTAACAGCAAATCCACATGCAATCCAGCCAAAAGTTCTCATTCTCATCAAATGTCAATAAAAACGCCTCATTTTCAACATGCAAACACAATTCATTAAAAACCCCAAAATTTCTTCAAACCCCGAAATCCCCTAAAAACCCCATTTTCACCAAATCAGCCAAGAACCATCACTCATCCGCAATCACAATGAGTTCCTAGACTCATTTCAGCCAAAAACGCAACAAAACTAACTTCCCTTACCTCAGTTCGAAGATCCGAGTTTCCGGGAAGGAGACAAGCTAGAACGAGGAAGAACGGAGAAGAGCTTGAACAAACGGCGAAAGCTTGAGTTGACACGGAGGAGAAGAAGAAGTCTGAACCCCTACTCAGCAGCAGCACCTATGGTTTCCAAGGGCAAGAGTGAGGAGAGTGAGGAAGGAAAATGAGAGAGTAGAAGGTGGTTCAGCCAAGTGAGTGAGAGTAAAAATGGTTAAGGGTAAAATGGGAATGCAAAATGGGTAGGGTCTCACATAAATAATTATCTAAAATTAACAAAAACTATTTTTTTAGTTAACATTAATAAATATATCTTATGTTTCTTTTCTTTTTTGTTCAACACTATTCTTAAATTAATAAATTAATGGATCATTAGAGTTAGTCTAGTGGTTGAGAGGAATGCATTACTTAGAAACAAAAGGTAAGTTTGGTTCTCGTCGCATCTTTCTAATCTTTCTTATAAATAAAAAATAATAAATTAATGAGAAATTTAATATATATATTTCTAAAGATTTTTTCTTTCAACAACAAAAATGAGATAATTTGTATTTTAAAAGAAATAAATTAAATAAATCTCACTTACTTTTTGAACGCAATAATACACTTAATAAGAGTATTTTATAGAAATAATAATAATTTTTTATACTAATAAATTGGATCTTATAAAAATATTAAACTAATTTAAAATTTTGGTCCTAAAATGAAAGACCGAAGGGAGTACATAATTTTAATAATTATTTTTTAAATTTTAATTTTAAGCAGTAATAATTAATATTTCTGTCCAAAAAAAAACTTAACAAATAATATTATATTATGATTTATGTTCAAATTTATTTTTTTTAAGAATTAATTACTATAAAAATCAATTTCATAAACAGTAATAATTAAAAATAATGCTTTTAAAAGTATATAATTAAATTTAAAATAATTAATAATGCTTTATTTAATTATAATTGAAAGTAAAAATAGAAGATACAAAGTTGCTTGTTGGATTCAATGAAATTTGATGAGCCTTAATTTCTTGACATTAATGGTATTTATTACCCTCTCTGCTTTTTATTATAAAAACAAAAAACAAAAAAACACACACATTATTTATTCTCAAATTTAAATTACTTTTTTCTAAAATATTTTTTTTTTAATATATGACCTTTTGATTGCATTACTTTTTTTTTTACATTTATAACAAAAATAAATTATAAAGAATATCAGAGAAGTAATAAAAGTTAATGCAAATAATTAAATTTTTAATACACATAAAATTAATTATTTTTGTTTATAGTAAAAAAATAGATGGGGCATTATATAATTTTGATAATTAATTTTTGTATCAATAGAAAAATAAAAAAAGAAAAAAGCATAATTACATCCTTAAAAAGAAAACATTATAGGCATCATTTGGTAGGAGATGTCTCATCTAAAGTGGCTAAAAGTGTATAATCACTTGGAGTTAACAAAAGTTGCTCCTTCCTAAACTAACCCGTCGCTCATTGTTCTAAACACATGAACAAAAGAAATGTTCTAAGTTAAGATTTGAAAACATTGAATCTTTCATCACTATTCCAAGAGAATGTAAATAAATATCATCCGAAGATAAAAGATGAAGAGATGTTTAAAATTTGTTTCACAAAAAATACGAATGAAATTGCTCATTAAACTAATCAATTAATGTTCACCCCTGATAATTAATGAAAACTTAAATTACTCATATTAATATTATTTATTATATAATTTTGATAATAAAATTATCATATTAATAATTTCAATATTATATTGTACACTATCAATAAATATTGTTACTTTATACCCAAAATGAATTTTGTACTCACTCTAAAGTATTCTAAAATGAATGATATTCTTAGATACTAGTATTAATTATTTTTTTCCTACTTTATCTTTTTTCTAAATTATTCAACAACTACGATTAAAAATAATTTCCTA